AATATACAATGTCATGTACAAAATTCCTTCCTTGAAATATTTCTGGGCAGCCATGCGAACTTTCCCAGTGCCCAACAACTCTTCGGTGGTGAAGCTTTTTATTGCAGCCGGTTTTTCTTTGGATTGTTGGACGGCACCGGCAGCAGCTGATGGAAGAGATGGAGCCCAGACTGATACGCCCACCGATGCGTCCTGCCCCACTTCCTTTTGGGCTGATAGTGAATTTACTTGGGAAAGCAGCATTTGCTGCTTTTCCTTGTCAAGAAGGCTAAACAATGCAGTAAAATTTAAGGACTCCATATGGTGACATGGGAAAACCAACGTGAATCAGCACTGTGAAAGCTGAAGTGTAAGCTAAACTTTGGTGCCATGATTTTCCACCTAAAATGTTGCAATGGGTACGAACCAATAATGTTAAAGAAGGATGATGACATCATATTCAGGCAAACAGAACAATATAACGGCTGTTTTGTGGCCTTGTCCTCTTTGCAAGGGAAAGCTGGTCTCCAGCAGAAAGGTGCAAAATTCGCACATGAAAATTTGTTTAATTTGCCCAAAGAAAGAAGAGCAGAGTGAATTGAAGGAGATACAGCGTCAGATCCTGTGGAATCTGATGAAGTACTGGGAGAGCCTGCAGTGCTGGATCCTGAAAACAAAGAGGTCGAGTAAGAATCTGACAAAGAAGACTTGTAGCAGCTGCAAGTAAGAGAGACTTCAGTTTAGGAGCGTTCTTACTGTGGAGTGAATTGATCGTTGCCCACATTTCAATGAGTTATATACAAATATTTTTTGTTGTCAGAGATTGAAAAGGATTTTGATTGTGTTCAGTTCCACATGAGGAAAAATTTAGCAAAAGCACAAAACATCTAACCTCTTAACACTAATTTTCTAATTGCTAATATAAATAATGTAAGCTTAACTAACAGTCCTACTAAATTTTCATTGCCTATACTTATATTTAAACTCATAATTGACAATCTGCAATGCTTATTCATAACTCTTTGCAGATCTGGGACTGGTTAAAATGAGAGAAGGGGTTCCACGTGAGGTTATACCAGCAATTTGCTGCTGGTGTAAGGCAGTTCGAGTCTGCCAAGTTCAAGTCTGTCTGATTGATCATCATATTTATGTACACAACTTAAGCAGCTGTGAAGTTAAAGCCTGAAAAAAATTCAAGCTTGAACTGGATTCAAACCCATGACCTCTTTGATACCGATGCAGAGCAGCACCTGTATCACAGAGGTCATGGGTTCGAATATCCTGTTCAAGCCTAAATTTTTTCAAGCTTTAATTTCACAGCTGCTTAAGTTGTGTGCATAAATGCAATGATCAATCATGCTTCAGACATTTAATATAATTATGTAATAATGTTAACTTAGACCACACCCTGATCTTTCATTCTAGCTACTACAATGATGTAGGGAGGCACAGTGGCCTCATGGTTAGTGCGCTCGTCTCTGGATCGAGTGGTCCGGGTTCGAGCCCTGGCTGGGGACATTGTGTTGTGTTCTTGGGCTAGACACTTTACTCTCACAGTGCCTCTCTCTACCCAGGTGTATAAATGGGTACTGGTGAACTTAATGCTGGGGGTAACTCTGCGATGGACTAGCATCCCATCCAGGGGGGAGTAGAAATACTCCTAGTTGCTTCATGGTACAGAAACCAGGATAAGCTCCGGCCTGATGGGCCACTTGGCTCATATGCAGACTTTACCTTTACCTTTTACTACAATGATGTAGAAAGTGATGGTAGTTTTGAGGGTACAGTTGAGTCTGGTAATGTTTGTAAAACTTTGACAACAGACACAAACTTTGATCCATCTACCCATGACCAGCCATCTGCTAAAACCCCACTGTATCCTGGAAGTTCTATTACACTTTTACAAGCTGTTGCTTCTCAGTTTTTGTGGTTTTCTTCAAATCCTGGTATTAGTAAAGAGAGTCTCTCTTATCAATTCAGTGTTCAGAAGTGTCTCCTTCCACCAGGGAACCTGTTACTGAGTAACTATGATGAGGCATACTCAATTATTAAACCTTTTCTTGTAGAAAGCTTTTGCTTTCATGCCTGTCCTCGTGACTGTGTTCTGTTTAGGGACACTGACAATCACAAGTATAGCACTCTGGTGAAATGCCCTAAATGTGGGTCAGATCGTTTTTAAGTAGAAACATTGCTAGGAAGCATTTTGTTTATTTGCCACTTGGGCCATGTTTCAGTTGCCTCTATGGGACAGCATCACTAGCCCAAGTGGCTCAGTCATTTACTACAAATGAGAAAGATCGCACCCAGCCTGATATCATGGATGATATTCAACAATCTCCATTATGGAACACCTTCAGAAGTAGTGCCAGTGAAAGAAGAATCCTTTTACAGTCATCTAAAACCCTAAAACTTCCTACTCCACGTGGCCCATTACTCAGGCTATGCTGAATTTGCCCCTGACAGATCAGGTACCTTTTTGGGAGGCTGTTACTTGTTGGCATAATTCCAGGTGAATATATGTCCGTTGAAATTTATCAGCAAAATAGGGAGTAGAAAACTGTTAAATAAAGCTCTCCAGTTATAAGTGCCCCTGAACCTGGTTGAATTTTAATTTTATCCTATTTCTGCCCATTGTTTGAGCAGTGTAGAAGAAATAATGTTAGATTTTTTTATAGATGTTGTGATTATATAGGGTTATAATGCATGCTCCCTTTGTCGCAGTTGTTTTCTTTATGATGGAACCAAGAAGCCGGCGTTTTGTTATGGTTTGGCAGACATGTGAAAAAACAATGATGCATTTGTGAAGAAAGCATTCCTTTGTTTTCTTGTTTCATTTTTTCCCATGAAGATCAGTGGGAAAAGCTTCTCAGCACATCTAAACAGCCTAATTTACTTTGTTTTACTTTGTTTCCCAAACATTGTACAGGAAACAGATCAAGGGAACCTGAAACTCTTCAGCCATATCTTGACTTGCTTGTTGACGAGTTGTTACAGCTGTCTGGCAAATCTGTTTACAATTTATACAGCAAGGCACCATTTCTGCTCAAGTGTGAGATGTCTTATGTTCTCAATTATCCTGGTGTGGGTAAGGTTTTCCATGTCTTTGGTTCAGGAGCCTATAAGGGATGTGTTCCTGGTGTGAAATTCAAGATAAGTATTGCATATCCTGTAAATTGGTATAAAAAGTCATTATTCCTCAATGCAGCAAACTAGATTACTGTCACTTTTTGTAAAAACTCAGTTATCATTTTGAATTGGTAAGATAGCTAGTGTTGCATTTTAATTTAAAGATTTCTGTAAACCAGTCAGAGATAAATCATGTATTTTTCTGTGCCAATGTTACTGAATTGGGTTGATTATTTTCCAAAAAAAATTCCCTGTAGAAGAAAAATCAAGAATGACAGTGCACAAAGCGAGACCCGCAGAAGGAAATACATGTATATGGAACAAACCAGAAAAAAGTTACTGCAGAACCTGAAGTTGAAGCAGCCCCCTCCCCTACTAGTTATTTCATGAATTTATCTTTCCTTCCTGTTTGTCGGGCCAAATATTTTGATATTCCCATTTTCTTTGTGTATTTGATGTCAATCTCTCTTCTTTCCTTATACGTGTTTATCGTAAGCACCTTCACAAGATGGTGTATATGGAGAACAGATCTTTCCTCCCCAACGACCACGCTCTCCACAATGATGTTCAAAGGTTTCCATGCAGAGCGGGGGAAAACAAATCATGTGCATCTTCCAAACCTGTGACCCCTGCCTACAGGGAACTGGTAGAGAAACATGCAATTTATGATCAAGCCAAATCGAATACGGAAAGGGCATTTCTTGCAAAGTCGTATTGGTGCAAAGGTAGGTATGCTCTCATGAGGCTACCAAATCATGACTGCACCACACTAGTACAACCTGATGCAATGCACACCATCACCAATGTCATCACCACTCTGGTGGGGCTGCTATCAGGTAATGCCAATATCAGCCAGGTGCTCCTTGAAGAGGAAGAGTTTGGGCGGAGAGAATGGTACCGTGATGTGCAGACAGTTAAAGGTACGGACATAAACATTTGTAGGATTTTTAATGTAATTTAAGGGTAGTGTTCATGACAACAATTTATGCTTTGCTGATTTTGATAAACTCAGTGCAGCAGCATTAGCAGAAGCAGTAGCAACAATAGAAAGAGCAGCAGCAGCAGTAGTAGTAGTGGCAGCAGCAGCAGCACCAGCAGTGGTTAATACAAGTTCCACTGTAACAGTACTGTTAAACAATTATTTGCAGGAGGCAAAGTGAACATTGGTGAATATTCACCAAGATGAAGTTGAGGTGAATATTCACCAAGGTTCACTTCGCCTTTGGCCAATAACTGTTTTAGTGTAATTTCAGAGCTGAACAAAGAGAATTGAGGACTAAAACATTAAAAAAGACACAATAATTGCTCGTTTGCATACACGTATGCAGCCATACTTTTAATAATAAGCTTGTATGTGCATTGATTGTTAATCGATTTATTCATCAAGTTGGGCAGTAAAACAAACAAGCGAAACACTACGAAAAATAATTTCATCTGGTACCTTTGTGTTATTGTTGTTGACTTCATTCACAGTTGTCATCATCATCCATAAATGAGTAGCTTTAGTTTGAAGAGAAATAAAGTTCGGTCAATTGATCTGACCTGCTGGCGATCAACACAACAACTGTGTTTACGATTCTTTGTAATACCTTGAATATGAGTTCTTGAAAGGATTTTTGGTCCCAGGGCAATAGCAATCATTTTGAAAATTCCCCATCCTTTCAAATGTACAAATATCATGGACTTGGAGTGATGTCTTCTAATAAATGAAAAATTCATTCAACAACTGTATGCCATGTTTACTTGCCCAGATAGCAAAGGTGACAAACTTAGTAACCAAGCTCAGAAATGTTATATTCACCACCTAGAGCGGTTAATGTAACGTCATATAAGGTATCACTCAACCAATCAGATTGCTGGAAACTCTTTGTTCAGCTCTGAAATTATACTAATAACTGATATAATTGTTTTTGATAGACTTTTCCATATACAGCACTGTGTTGTGCCTGCTTTATTAGGTAGCTGAACTTCTTGGTTGCTTGAATTTTTTTTTTAAAAGATAGCTTCATGCTCTTTAGTTGTATTTAGTAACCATATTTTGATTCAGATACACCAGGACAGAAACGAACAGGGAAAATAGGGGCTGGTGGAGCTCCAAAGAGAAAAAAGAAGCAGAAGAAAGGTGTGATACTCACATCCAAATGATGCACAACATACAACACAGCAGATTTTTGTTTACTTTTTTTTTCATTTTATTTATTTATTCCATTCTAAAATTACAAAGATAAATATAAAGTAGACAAGTAAGAGGAGAAATGGAAAAGGGCAAAAATATAGC